CCGCACTTAACTCCTAGTTCGACAGAGCCATCTGCCCACAGTTCATAGTGTAGGCGCTCAGGTGGTGAGGACGTTTGGTTTGTGTTAGCCGAGTTGAGTTCCATTCTACGCCCCTCAAGAAAGAGCAGGGATTTTCTTCTGCATTTCCACTAAGCAGTAACTTGGTGCGGATGATACTGCTGACGGAGCGGCGACACAGACCCCAATACAAGCAAAGATAATACTTTGTCTCAGCAAGACGCAGCTGGTCCTAGTACTGTGCGATGCCGTGAGTCCACCGCCGCAAGGTTCTCCAAGAGGCGAAATTTGCTGGCGATTGGTTTCCCAAGGCGCTACAGTGTGCTGGACCATGATGCCACGATGAAGTGGTTGGCATCACCAGGGAAGGCAAAGAGTCTCCCAAAGTGCTGAATTTTTGTAACGGTGCTTCGACCCGATGTGCACGCGCATACTCACCGCTTCGGGGATTTGTCCCCGCTGAGGATGGACTGAATTTCAGTTAGCTTTTGTGTCCTTTATAACAATGAGTCATACCTTTAAGAAGAAAAAAAAAATAGAGAGCTTCTTAGGAAACCATCAGGCAAGGAGATGCCTGTCCATTTGTCACTATTCTTCGTGAATATGTTTTCTTCTTGTGCCGTTGCAAGTGTTTTCAAAGGGTAGGAAGTAAAGAATAACTTGCTTCTTTTCTGCCGTCAGACCCACCGCAAACTTCCCTTTCTCATGGCGAAGTCGTGTGGATCGGGGGATCTTAACATCTACCGTTCCGTAAGTCTTGCGGAAAACGGTGCGATTCCATCTCCCTTCTGTTGCCGTGTGTGCTCGCATTGTAGATGAGGGATGCCTGTAAGTTGTTCCCTTTCCTTTCTGTTTCTTTCTTTCTCTCTTTATAGATCCAAGAACACAGCGACTACACAGCGCATATTTTCATTGACAGATCTGTGGAGAATACAGACGCAAGCAGGCAGAACAGTGCCTTCTCGAGCGACGCTCCTCCTCTTGCGCAAGGACATCTGCCTGACGAATCCCAACGGACAGTCGGAGGCTCCACCATCCAGTCCGATAACGTGGATTTGGCAGACGAGCGTAACAGATTGGCGGCAGAGGCGTCAGCACTGGAGAATAAAAAGGCACAATTACATGTACTGAATAGACGGCGACGCTTAGGTGACACCGGATTGAAAACTTGTGCCATTGACAGTATAAAATTCCGCTCCACAGAGGAACTGTGCGGCATGTGCGAGATTCATATTGATGGGAAGGCGCTTGGAGACGGCGACCTGAAGGCTCTCCACACATCTCAAGCGCTTACCCGAATAAATATTTCCAAATGCAGTGGCGTCTGTAATGTGCAGCTGCTGGCTGGCTTGAAGCAACTACAGGAGCTGCACTTGGGAGTTGATGGTGAGATACAGAACATCATCTTACTCAGTGAACTACCAGAGCTGAGAAAGCTATCATTTAGCAGCGCATACTTACATGATAGCGATGTGCGTTGTCTGGGCCTCCTCCAAAAATTGGAGGGACTCTCTCTTCGAAGCTGTTCCCGGGTTACAAGCTGTCAGTGTATCGGTCAACTTCCACTCCTTCGGGTGCTTGATCTGAGCTATACCGGCGTCACCGATGAAGGACTGATGGGCCTCAGTGCGAGTCGCGGCCTTGTGAAGATTGTGCTCCAATTCTGCAGTGACCTCACCGATTTGTCTCCTCTCGCATCCATCGAGACGCTGGAAGAGGTGAATCTTTTTTATTGTCAAGGAGTGAAGATTGTTGGTGCCCTTGGCAGGCTGCCTGTTCTTCGTATCCTTGACTTGGGATACACTGCTATTACAGACGGGGAGTTGCAGGGTCTCTGTGCGAGTCGCAGTCTTGTGAAGATTGTACTCCAATTCTGCAGGCACCTTACAGATGTGTCTCCTCTCGCATCCACTGAGACAGTGGAAGTGGAGCTGCCTGAGTATCGAGTTTTGAAGGCTGTTGGTGTCCTTGCAGGCTCACCACCTTAAATGGCTTGTCTTGTGAGGCAATGTTAAGGAAGAGTAATGGAAGTCATTTGGCACGCGACTGAGAATACTTAGAGGATTGTCATCTTCTGTAAGTCATGCTCTTCTTGCTTTGAAGTGGTTATTGCTTTGTCATTGAGTTGGTGAAAAGCTTCATCCTTTCTGTGGTCGAAATATATCATGGTGATATATTGGGTTTGGGTCATGATCTTGTGGTGCTACCCCTGGTGTTCGCTCTGAGCTCCGGTGCCCGGCCGACGATTCCGCTCTGCGCCGTGTTCTTCTTGTGTGAGGAAAGACACGAAAACTCATATGCGCCGGAAATACAAAAGTAACTTTTTTTGGGGGGTGGGTGGGGGACGATGTTTGGTCGCGAATCTTTTGTGCGTTTCATGGGTGAAAAAAGCTGGAGAGGTAATAAAATTCTCTTTCTTGCTTTTTCAGGTTCTTGCTTGTTGCTTTGGGAGGGTCTCATTGATCGAACGAAAGCCCTCATGCTTTGTTTTTAAAAAGAAAAGAAATAATTATCGCTTGTACTTGGGCGTGGCTTCTCGAAATGGCGTAGGCTGCGCATGGGAAGTAACAATTGAACGTGTAAAAAGGGAAGGTGCTCTTTCATTGGAGTGAATGGTGTAGACTGAGCCATGCGCT